AAATTAGAAAAATGTCTAAATGCAAACTGTATGCCTTGATAGGATCAGAAGGGTTGGATTGAATCAAAACATTGGATAAAAAGCCGCCATCTTATTGGTCAGCAGCTTGTTAATTGGCCAAGCTCTATTATCAAATTTTACAGATTGAATTAAATTGATTATTAAAACAAGAATCCAAGTGATTTCCATAAATGGTCTTTATATTAATGTTGGATTATTTTGTTAGGGATCACCAACTCATACATTTGACAAAATATTTGTCTAGAAAATAATCAGATGGTAATGTAAACACATTTACTTAAGTAGTTCAAAATCAAATATGTTTGATTTTAGGAAATTAAATAAACATTAAAGGAAAAAAAAATTGCTGAAGGGTTGGTCACACAAGTCAGGTGGTCTTCATACACACATACATTATGCCTTGGAACTGCCTTAATGTTGTTACTGTGGGAAGGTGGTCGTTATACAGAGGTGTTTGCTGAGATTGACCGTATATTGATGTAGCACATACCTGGTTTCTTTTGTACACTGTATATGCCAATCCTAAAACCCTGTTAGCGGTATCCATCTGTGTTTGTAGTTTTGCCGATCCATATTGCCATACTCTATATGACTCTAATAATAACTGAAGCGCTTCGTCCTCACAGTGGTTGACTTTGTCCATCCTCTCCAACTTCCCTTTGATCACAGCCAGTACGTTATCGTAGGCAACTTTTGCTAGAAGTATTCGGTCCACATCACGAAGGTATTTCCTGTAAATAATAAATTTGATACGCTGTATATGAGGAAAGCTCTCAAAAAACTGTATTTTGGGCTAGTTGTTGAGACTCTCCTTAACAGTATTAAAAAGACAACCTCTACACATGCAACCTCATAGTTGTTCTGTTTTCTTAAATTTAGCTGTTTTCACCGGCTCTATGACAGGTGCTTCTCAGCAGCTTGCTCAGAGGCCACATAACAGCATGGTACAGTTATGCACGTCCGAGCAACATAGAACATTCTGTGACATACCCCACCCCCCCTCTGCCCCCTATATCCTTATCTCATTACTGGAGCTCATACTTACTTTCCTTGGTCTGGGGTTCTCTGTAACTGTGAGGAAACTTGAAACAAAGCTTTGTAATCCTTATTTTTCAACAACACCTCCAGTAATAACGTGACAGAACGGTGCATGTGAGAAGGGAAACTGCCAGGTCTAGAAGAAACAACAAAAGTTAAAAGCCATGATTCATAGCCACTCATTCATAAACATTTTTATGGAGAAGATGAACACCATGGCAAACAACATATCTATAGCTAATTAACTGGTACTCGGTAATCAAGAAAGACGTGAACAGAGAAGTCTTGACCGTAAAATTTAGTTTACAAATAATAAGTTTATAACAATTTTTAGTTTTTACCTAAAAAATTTGGCTATTTTTCTCCCAATCTTTTGAAGGAAAGTGCAGGCTATAAACGGGACTATTTTGTGATGAAAAGAGGGAACTGGTGGTGAAACGGCTAAATGCAAATGAACTGGATGAATTATTCATCTCATCTTGTATTTGTTTTTGTTTCTTCTCCCTTATTCTATTTTTTGACATATAAACAATTGTAAACATATTCTTACCTATCAATTTCTTCTACAGGTATTCTCCATATTCCATTGAAGAAATTGCTTTTATTGCGTTCAGCAAAGAGGCCCTGAGCAGGCATGTGTTTGTATTGATACCAGGGCAGATAACTGGTTCCCATCAAGAGATCTCGACTCCACTGAATGTTCTGAATAAAAAAAAAATACACAACACTACATAATACTGTGACGTGGTAGGTTAAAGCAAGTATTAACATGGTTATCCCAAGTTTGTTATCTGGTTCAGCTGAAATGAGCATTTAAGATATAAGAGGGGAACAGCTGTTGCAATTCTGCCTTGCATGACAGTACACAAGTTTTCTACAATTTCGTTTACAGATATATCTCCAACAATTGCCCATTGAGCACATCTAATATTTTTGTAATTTTTCACGAAATAAACCCACTAAAGGTAAATATAATTTTTGAGAAAGTTGGTCATAAATTGCATGACAACGTTCATTGGTTTATTATGTACAATCATGGAGCTATTGTCCCATGGCACAATGAAATAGCATTATTTTAATAGTGTGTTACAGTTACATTTTTTAGGGAAACTTGTCTTAATATTTATCAAGAAATTGCTGTTTTAAGAACATTTCC